TTTTCTATAATTTTGTTAAGATTACGGTAGTTTTGAGAAATAAATTTCACGATTTAACTAAACTTTTCAGTATTTCGAGATCGGAATCGCTGAGAACAGCAAGACGCCGCAGAATTGCCTCAATGTGAAATACCCCAAACTACATCTTTCAACAATCGTTTGTTTTAACGAATCCTTACAATTGTTTAAAGATTTAAACTCCTAAAGTCCTTTTTTTTTCATTGAGTAAACGAAAAGTTTCAGCATCTCGAACGCGGCACAACTTTGGGGAACCGTCCAGCTATCAGTGAGTTTAAAGGGTTTAAGTTTCATTTATCTTCACTTTCTAAACGTGAACACTTTCTACTTTTAAGCTTTTGAGTAGATTTAAAACTGTGATTGTCTTTTTCAGTTAAGTGTTTCGATTCCCGACCAAGAGATCGTCGTTTGGGTCTCTGGCCCGTCAAGTATCAGCGGTTTTGCCGGTATTTCTGGCGGAAGTAACACTGTCAAAAGTCAGGTAGAATTCAGCTAATAGTAAGTGTGTTTTTGAAGCTTTCTATCGTTTTGTGATAAATATAGATCTGTTATGCTATAGAGATCTGTTATGCTATAGATCTGTTATGCTATAGATCTGTTATGCTATAGATCTTTTATGCTATAGATCCGTTATGATATAGATCTGTTATGATATAGATCTGTTATGCTATAGAGATCTGTTATGCTATAGATCTGTTATGCTATAGATGTGTTATGCTATAGATGTGTTATGCTATAGAGATCTGTTATGCTATAGAGATCTGTTATGCTATAGATCTTTTATGCTATAGATCTTTTATGCTAATGAATTCAAATAATAATTTAAATTGACTACAAAACAAGATCAACCAAGATCAAGACCAAGATTGGCTTTATATCCAAAAATCTTTTAAATAAAAAACTTGCTTTTGATAATAAAAATCAATAATTGAAGAACTCGAAAGTTTTGTTGAACAATTCTTTTTCTCTTTTTTTCTAGCGTTTGATTCCCTGGTCTCTGGGCGGTGGATATACGATGGGAGACAGTTTACTTGAAGGTTTCACAGCCACATGGTACTATGGATTCAGGTTCATGAAAAGGCAATTCCATTGAGAAATTCCATTTTACAGAAGTTTCCTAAAAGAAGTCTGGGCCGAGTACTGTGACTTCAAAATTGTGGTTAGTTTTGAGGGAAACGCTGGGATTAAACATGAGCTAAACACGAGCTAAACACGAGCTAAACACGAGCTAAACACGAGCTAAACACGAGCCTTTCCACGATTCACTCCCACGTTTTAGTAAAAACTCTTGTTTTCCAAAGCTTAAATACAACGCTATTTCGAGCTTTAGAAAACAAGAGAGAACAAGAGTTTTCTAAAAAGTTCGATTGACTCGTTTTTTACGAAAGTCTCATTTATAGCTGGGATGTTCCAGAGTCATAGAGGCTGTAAGTCAGATCAGACCAGAGTCGATCGGCAGTCAGCCTTGCAGGACAGCCTAGAGCTCGGTCAAAAACCATACATGAAATGAAACCAAGCCAAAACCAAGCCAACATCTAACTTCTGGTCTGATCTAGACACGGGAAAATGCCTGAAATATGACTCAAAAACAAACCCAAAACTTTCCTTCAGTTCGCCGGGCACTCAATTGGTGCGTGCGTGTCGCAAATGTTGGCCTACGTGACGGTGCGTGGAGAATACTGGGAAAAAGATCTTGTCTCATATTATGGATACGGAGCGCCGAGATGTGGAGATCAGGTGAGCCAGGCTTCACAAAAAGTATTCTATTCTCAAAGGATTACGCGGCTGTTTTCGATCAAACCGTCCCAAACGCATATCGCATCAACTGGAACTCGGACCCTGTCGTTGTAAGTGAAACAAGCAAAGTTTGAACATTGACAATTCTTAATTGAAATCTTAAGTCTTTCAAGCCAAATATGGCTTTTGTTAATTTTGCCCATAATTGCACAACTTTGGTAAGCCCTTGGACAAAGAAAGGTCGGGAATCCGACAAGTGAAGAGCTCCGCTCTCTCGAGGAGCGAGATAACAGCTAAATCTAGAATCTAAAAGAAACGGATCTAGAAAGAGAGAAAAAATGAATGCAGATAGATCAAAAAGCTACCGAGGACTCGAACCCGCGACCGTTCGCTTCACGGGCAACTGTGCTAGCCATTACACCACAACGCACCTAATCTCCGTACTCCAGAGGGAGTTAACTTCTCTCCTCTCTGAACGAGACAGTTCCACACGATTTATAGGCCTGGCGTGCGCTCGAAACTAGGTATGAAGACCTTAGCAAGCATTGAAGAGCCTAACCTTCCGTCGTAGCCAGTTGGAACTAGGGCAGATCAAAAACTTGTGTGCCGCCAGGACTCGACCCTCCGCCTACCGGGCAACTGTCCTAGTCATTACACCACAACGCACCTAATCTCCCTACTCCAGAGGGAGTTAACTATGCAAAAGACAAGCACTTTTTTGACCAGAAAGGAAATCTTTAAATCTTAAATCAAATTTCCAGAACTTAGCCGCGAATTCGTGCCCACGAACGGTCGACCCGGTGCTCGGAGCGGATCCCTCGTGCTGGTTCCATTGTTGTGTAAGTTTTTCGAAGTTTTTGAACGATTTCGATGATTTTCAACTTCTAAAAACTCATTCTAACAATCTTCCTGATCATTTTACATTTAAGGGAGTTGATATTTGAGGCTTTAAAGGCAAATTCTTTGCAGACAGCCATCAAGTACAGCTCTGGCGGCGTTCCGGGAACCCCGTGCACGATTGATGACAGTGCGACGTGCACAAGCGGTTTGTTGATTTAGAAAAAATGAAATTGAATTTATTAAGATCAAAATAGAAGAAATTTTTGGGGATTTATCCCAATTTTGTCGAAAATCTGTAATAGAATCTGTCGAATTGCTGAATTTGCATCGCTTAAACAAGGGTTTTCTTTTCGATGAAGTAGAGCTTTTAAAATAGGCTTTTTACGCTATTTTACGCTATTTTACGCTATTTTACGCTTTTTTACGCTTTTTTTACGCTATTTTACGCTATTTACGCTATTTTACGCTTTTTTTACGCTATTTTACGCTATTTTACGCTTTTTACGCTATTTTACGCTATTTTACGCTATTTACGCTATTTTACGCTTTTTTACGCTATTTTACACTATTTTACGCTTTTTACGCTATTTTACGCTATTTTACGCTTTTTTACGCTTTTTTACGCCATTTTACTCCATTTTTAGCGCTAAAAACGTACAATTCTCGTCAATTAGGCTTATCAAATACAAAGATTAATCAAAAGCAAAAGAAAATAAATAAATATTGATTTTTCTGATCAAAACCAAAGCTTTTCCAGGTGGCAATCAACTGTTGAACTCGGGTGATCACACCGCCTATTACGGTGTCACATCCGCCAACTCCTACAATCCGAACACGCTAACTTGTTAAGGGAAAAACAAAAAATCATTTTTACCAAAAATAAATACTTTTTGTGGAGATTTTGGCTTAAAATTCGCTCGGAATTAGCTCAAAATATGCTCAAAATTAGCTCAAAATTGACGATTTTGGCTCACAATTTGCTCGGAAATGGGAAAATCCGTTAGATCAAAGTTTTCAACCATCGCAAAGCGAAAAAAAAAATCGATTCAATGCTCGTTGTTCATTTTTTTTGAGTTAATGAATACAAAAATTGAATCCCGATCGAGTGAATAGAATTTTGAACACAAAAATGAACACAAAAATGAACGCAAAAATTACTTGTGCCTAGCGAAAGAATCGAAAAGAAAGATTTCTGATTGAACATGAAATCAATCTCTCTTTACGAATCAAATTCTCCGTAACGGCACCCGTCAAATTGAATTGAACAAAAAAGAAACTTCAAAATGAATTTCCCATTTCAATTTTCTAGCTTAATTTTTCAATTCTTTGACTTTTAACCTAAAATCTTTCAAAAGCTGGATTTTTCAACGTGGTTTATCTCAAGAAATATATGGATAAGGATTTCGTATTCTTTATCAGGTAATAACAGCTAAAATTTCCTTTTTCAAAGTTTCCTTTTCCTTTTAGTTCCATGTCTCATGTTAAATCTCTTTGGGTTATTTGTGATTTTCAAGAAATCCCCAATGGAAATGAGAACTGTTTCTTATTGTATTGCGTATTGGGTGGTGAGTTGTATTGGTTGGGAAACTGTACTGGGAAACTGGTTGGGAAATTGTGACCTTATTGTTTATCAAGTTATTCACTTAATTCACTTAATTTCCTTTTTCAAATACTCTCTTTTCAATTCCATGTCTTCTATTCAATTTCTTTGGGTTATTTATGATTTTTAAGAAATCCTTAAGGGAAATGAGAACTGTTTCTTATTGTATTGCGTATTGGGTGGTGAGTTGTTTTTGTTGGGAAGCTGTGACTCAAGGGAAACTCAAGTGGTTTTCTATAAGATTCACTTTAGAAAAAGGTATCGTTTCCCAGATTTCTTAGAATTTAAACCAAGCTCTAAACTGGATTTATTCAATTGACCTAAGTCTTGTGAAAATTAGAAATTTTTCAACTGTTATGAAAATCTAAAAAGTTAACTCATTACTGTCAACTCATTACTGAGATGGTGAGTGATTTCTGTTGAAATCCGTGTTCCAACCTCTCAACTCAAGCGGTTTTCTATAAGATTCACTTTAGAAAAAGGTATCGTTTCCCAGATTTCTTAGAGTTTAAACCAAGCTCTAAACTGGATTTATTCAATTGGTCTAAGTCTTGCAGTAGTCCGGTTGTTTTTGCTAGATTTTTAAAGGTTTTCAATCACCGGCTAATGGAGTATATACTAGATAAAATAAAATAAAAATTGATCTCGGTCGGAGTCGAGCTAGGGGGTCGAACCCGGATCGTGTGGCTCTAAACGGCCGCCCTCCCGACTGCGCCACCGTGTCTACTGATAGAGTCTGAAAAAAACAGCATGACAAACCCGTCGCCGTTATGGATTATTTAAATGGACTTTTGGCTGGTTCTATAATAAATGGAGTTCAGAAAATTCTAATTGGAGTTTGGGAAACTTTTCCAACAGTTTCCCAAACCCATTTCCATATATCCATCCTTCAAATTCCAGGCAATCGCTTCTCTCTTTGATCTTTTCATCAAGTTAATTGGTGGCTCCTACTATGATTACTTTGATGACCACGTTGTCGCTCGTTTCAATGGAATCATGACTTTCTTGGAAATCGATCTTCGCATCCAAATGGTCGATAAGAATTTTTGATTAATTTTATTTTTCAAAGGGGGTTCTCATTGTCGTAATCAGCCAGGTGGCGCTGAGCTGTGTGGGTCTTTTTCTTGGTGCTCTTGGGAAAATTTTGCCTCTAACCTCACCGTTTCGGTACTATTATTGGTGAGTTTTTTTTTTTACTAATTACAATAATCTTGGATAAGCTACGTAAACTTTGGCTTAAAATTTGGCTAAGTTAGCGTAAAGTGATCGGAATCGGTTGATCAAAAGTTGAGCAAAATGACAGTAAGCATTAGATTATAAGTTGGATAAGTTATAGATTAAAATTTGTAATGATACAGTGCTGGACAATGAAATATCATATTTGAAAAAACGATCGTCACTTTCGCGCGTCTGTAACTCCCTTGTCTTTGAGTTTAAACTATTAGTGTTATACATTTTCTGAAAGCTCTTTTCAAGGGCTACACAATGGTAATATTAATATTTAAAAATACGGTAAAGACAATAGAGTTACAGACGCGCGAAAGTGACGATCTTTTTTCGAATATGATATTTCATTGTCCAGTAGTGTAGATGATAGTTATTCGAATTTTCTCTAATAGTAGTGCACTCCGACGAGCCGAGTTGATGACTATTTTACGGTTTCCAAGTTTTCACAGAAGCTCAACACTCAAATCCCCCACTAGATCTCATCGTCAGCTACATTTTCCGACCTCACATCGATGGATTCTGATAAGCGGTTCTCGAGATTTCAAGGAATTTAGACGACGCTCATGGTGCACTACTATTAGAGAAAATACTGTATTCGAATTTGTAAATGGCATGCTCCATCTTTTAAACGTTTCAAAACCTGCCTTTATCTACAATTTTAGGTTTGGCTTCACAAGTGCCCTGCTATCATGCTTTACTTTTGTGCATCATCCTGTTATTTTTCTTTGTCAACAGTACGTGAACCCAAAAGAAAAATCTCTTTAACCACAATTTCAGCAAAACTTTGTCACTTACGCTCCAGCGTTGAAGCTAATGTTCTTCAATCACAACGAGTTATACTTTTTCGGGATGATTTGGGTGTATGCATTGATTGCTTATTTGATCGTGATTGGTGCACTGATCACAGAGAAACGATATTTCAAAGGAGTCAGCGGGCAAATCAGTGAAAAAACAAAACAACGACAACACGCGTATATGAGAAAATCGATTATACAGGTATTGAAAAAGACTAAATTTTAAATTTTCGGTCGATCATAAGAATAGGGAGTGGGACAAATGCGACCTTTTTTTGCGCACCCGGACATTTGCGCATCTTTTTTTGCGCACTTAGCCCATTCGCGCACCTTTTTTCGCGTTTTAAAAAAGCTCTAGAAAGCTAATATTAACCAATTTCTATTCCAAATGTTGTTTTTCTAGGTAATTTGAGGGTGTCGAATTCAAATTTTGACATAACAGAGCGTGTCGAACCAATTTGAAAGACAAAACGGCTAGATCAAATT